AGGTGTGCTTGTAAATCACCCATCATGAAATGGGCAAACACAGTGAAAGAGCCTTAAAAAATTACTGAAGCCAAACACAGACTCTTTCAACAGCACCAGTCGTTGATACAGATGGGTTTGTCAAACACTCACCTAGCAGGAGAAGCCTATATTACAGGGGGCCCACCCTCCAGAAAATAATTTCACTTTTTTTCCCCCACCTTGTAGATGTCTGGACAAAGGGATGTTGAGGGAAAAGCCTGTTTGAACTGGCCCTAGATGAACTGAGTGGAATTTCAGCAGTCTGGAAAAAAAATAGGGGGTTGAATGAAATTCCAGATAGAGTATCTGTCCTAAGCAAAGTCATGGAGGCAGAAAAGTACATGCCTATTGGAGTATAACAAATTTTTAGTAGAAGATACATCTATCTGGGTAGATGGAGTCTATATTTGATAGGGCCCTGAATGCCATGAAAAGAAATTTAAACTTGACCCTATAGGCAATGGGGAAGCAACTTATGATTTTAAGCAAGAAAGTGACAAAAGGCACTTTCAGTGCCTTTAAGCTGAAAATTTAAGCTGTGTAACACAAATATCCACCAAAACATTTTTCTCTGATTGTTCTCTTCCCTAGGCCTCCATTATATGACAAGCCCTATTCGTAATCCACCAATTGGGATAATAAATCAAAATCCCCTTACTTTGTTCTTGGCCTGCCATAAGATTTGGCTGGCCTCAGGCTTGTGGTCATCTAGAGGTTTGATTTTTTCCAGATGTGCCATTTTCTAGAACACCATGTCATAGTGAAGCCCCAAAGTATTATGGAAGGACTACTGAGCTTAGAGTTCAAATAGATGAGGGTTCAAATCTCAGCTTTAAAAAAGTTTAAATGATTTCCTCATTTTTCTGCTGCTTTAACATTTTGTCTTGAACTTACTTAATATCTGAAAAATAAATCCAAAGACTGTACCAGAATGCATTATCCACAAATTATCACTTTGAGTTTTACTGATTGTACTTATTTCCTTTGTTGAACTCTCATTTATAGCATCTGTTTTGCTTTATTTTCTTGCTTCTTCTAATTTTCTTTAGTTGATCCTTTATTTTATGTACTTATTAAGGAAGCGCTTTATAACCCAGTGAACCAGATAGCTGTTCCAGGAAATGTTTGGAATGAGGCAACTCAATTTAGCTGAATTGTTCTCTGTTAGTGGGTTACAGGAAGGAGTTTGAAACATCTCTATGGGGAAACTGGTAAGTTTTCCAGCTTCCCCTTTGCTAATCTTCATCTTGAACTGTCATTATCTTGTTTTAAAGAATTTCCTGAACAATACTTACACCCATCTGAAAATATGACTACAGGACATATATCACAGCCAATATAAATTATTTTTGGACTCCCCATACATTTTCTTTCTATGATTTGTGTGGCTAATGTAGAGTTGCTAGAACTGTATATTTTAAATCATTTCCCAAATGAGAGGTAAACAGTGGAGAGAAAGGGAAATAATTCTGCATCATTTTACAAATTGTCTTGCTTCTTTTCAGTGCTAGTCACTATATAGAATTCATGGGCATTTAATAAATTTAAACAAAAAGAAAACCGCTTAAGGTGTGCTACCCTGTTAGACCCAGTTATTCTCATCAACTAAAATGGTGCTTATTTTCAGCTAAGATTTCTAGAAACCTGGAATACCTATTCTTGACATTAAATGCTTTTTATAGGTTCATTGAATGTAGTAAATCCCAGAATTAGACAAATACTAAATGCAAATATTGACTCTAATGCCACCTGCATTTTAAAAGGAAAGTTGATGTGGAGGGTGAGGGCAGGGAACATGCTTTGTTTGGATTTTATTTTTTGTGCTTAAGTTAGTGTTATTTCTGTTTTCCCCCACCCCCATTTTTATGCTGTTAAGTTTGAAGTAGCAACCAAAGTGTCAAGTGGAGTTCTTTGGAATTCAGGACTGGAGCCTGAGACAGAGATGAGAGCTAAAGATAGTAGGTTTCCTTAAAGTGTAAAATTAAGTACAGTAGTCTGCCTTTATCCAATTTCACTTTCTGCATTTCTACCCATGGTCAACTGTGGTTCAGAAATATTAAATGGAAAATTAGAGAAATAAATAGTACATAAGTTTTAAATTGCATACCATTCTGAGTGCCATGATAAAATATTTCATTGTCCTGCTCCATCCCACCCTGAGTGTAAATCATCCCTTTGTCCAGTGTATCCATACTGTATCCACTACCTACCTGTTAGTCACTTAATAGCCATCTCAGTTGCCAGATACATTATGAGAGAGAGAGAGACAGACAGACAGAGAGAGACAGAGACAGAGAGAGAGAACATTCACATAACTTTTATTACAGGGTATTGTTATAATTGGTCAACTTTATTATCAGTTATTGTTGTTAATTTCTTACTGTGCTTAATTTATAAGTTAAACTTTACTATAAGTATGTATGTACAAGAAAAAACCATATATGTAGGGTTTGGTACTATCAGTGGTTTCAGGAATATGCTGGAGGTCTTGGAGCATATTCCCTATGGATAAGGAGTGGGGCTTCTATTAAACAGAGTAACATGGGGAAGGGCTGCTACCTCAGTCAAATCAAGAGCAAAATAAAGGGTTTTTTAAAAAATTAGAATAAAAACACTTCTTTCTGGATGACAAAGAAGGGAGACAGAGATTCAGGATTTTTTATGTGTTGTTAGTAATAGGAAAAAACTAAGGATCCTGTGGTAGGTCAGGATCCCTAGAAATGCAGCTGAGACAGAGAATCTGTTTAAGTGCATTGTTGTAGGAGGACTTGGAGAAGGGGAGTGAAGGAAGCAGAATAGAGCAGAGGGAAGAGTCCAGCAAGGATGAAGGATTAGAAGCAGTGAAAGAGCTCTACTAAGACCACAAAGCACAGATTCATAGTGTCCTAGGACTCATTTGATCCACATAGCATTATTAGAGTTTTTGTAGCTGAGGGAATGGTTTTATGATCAGTAAATCTGTACATTATTAATACCTTTACCTGACCATATGTCACCATATTAGCATGGTAATGTTCCTGGGGAACTTATTGTTTACTTCACATCTGCACAGAGTTCAAGTTATTTGTGGATTTGAAGGAAGGGTATTGGGAATGCACTTCTTTTATTCATATTCAACCTTATCCATAAGTAAATGACAGGTGTTCCTTGGAATATCTGTTCTTGGTTTCAACTATCACCTTGATATCAATAACCCCCAAATCTTTGATCTCCCAATCTTCATCTCATCTGGCTTTTCTAGCATCATTTTTTAAAGATTTTATTTACTTTTTTGAGGAGAATAGAGGGAGAAAGAGAGGGAGAGAAACATCAGTGTGTGGTTGCCTTTCATGCACCCCCTACTAGGGACCTGGCCTGCAACCCAAGCATGTGCCCTGCCTGGGAATCAAACCAGGAACCCTTTGGTTCCCAGGTCTGCACTCAATCCACTGAGCTACACCAGCCAGGGCTCTAGCATAATTTTTGTACCTGTATTATTATCCCACAATGATTTGTACATAGTAGGTGGTTCATAAATGTTACTCACACTTCAGTCAGGCTGGTTTCTTTATTACAAGTGAGGTATTGTGAAACTGAACACATGATTTAGAGTTTAACTTTTTCAAAACACCAACTGGGCAAGTTACTTAGCCTCTTTGAGCTTCAGTTTCCTTACCTTTGCTAGGAGTGATAATGCCATTGCATAAGATCTTTGGAAAAATTAAGTGAAAGGATTCACTTTAAGCACGTAGCCTGAAAATTGATAAGTACCTGGTAAATGTTTGTTCTTTATTCTTTATGGTATATGTTTAAACTATTTAATTTATCTGCTGTGATTCCAATTTTTTATGCCTGTTGCTTAATGTGTTCTATTTAGTTTTTACCAAATTAAACACACATGATTCTGATAATGTACAGTAAGAACTTCCTTAAAAGTGTTGGAATACCTCAAAAGGAATATTATTTGCCTAATCCAACAGAACTTTGCTATGATTCTCAATCAACATTTCATTTTAAAAAGTTGAAGAGGGGATTGTAGATCACTTAAAGTTGGCTGTAATGCTGTTTTTTGATTCAATATACTAAGATTTTTTTGAGTAAAACATATCTGAAGATTCACACTTGGGATGTAAAAATGTGTTATCTTTAATATTAGTTTCTTGAGCAGAGAACAACATTGAATGGCACAGTATGCCTCTTTCCCGCAATATTTCTATGTACCTATATTGTGTGAGGGGCTCTGGCAGACTCGGAAGCATAGATAATGTTTCTTCAATTGATTACTTGTGAACTACTGCAAGTTTTGTATACATGTCCTCTCATTTTAGTTGGTATTTGTTTGCATGATTCTCAAAAAACTGCTATCAGCTACATGGTAAAGGTATACATTACATCTGGAGGGTAACTGGATATACTAAGTAGTTTACATTTATATATTATCAAAATAAGAGTATGAAGAAATACATAAGGATAAATGGCAACCCAAAAGGTAAAAACTGCCCACATGTCAATCAGCTGATGAATGGATAAACAAAATGTGGTATAGTTATACAATGGGTATTATTCTGTCCTAAAAAGGAATGAGGTACTGATACATGCTATAACATAAATAAGCCTTGAAAACATAATGAGAAGTATAAGGAGCCATACACAAAAGGCCACATATTATATGATTATATTTGTATGACATATCCAGAATCTGCCAATCATAGAGACAGAAAGAGAATAGAGTTTATACAGGGCTGGGGGGGGGGGTAGGATAGGGAATTATATTTATTGGGTACAGAGTTTCTGTCTGGGATGATGAAAAATTTCTGGAAATGTCTAGTGATGATGATTGCACAACATGTAAATGTACTTAAGGATGCTGAATTGTCTAGTTTAAAAATGGGTCAAATGGTAAATTTTATGTTATATGTATTTGCCACAATTTTAAAAATAATAAATAGTAAGGGGCTTGAAGTCACTGTAATAAGCCTCCTGTTTTTCTTTCTGCACAGGAGCCATGGATAATAGAGGATTTCAACAGGGGAGTTTCAATAGCTTCCAGAGCAGCTCCAGTGATGAAGACCTGATGGACATACCAGAGTCAGCTATGGATTTCTCCATGAGAGATGATGTTCCTCCATTAGATGGAGAAATAGAAGGTATCATTATTGCTGGTGACAATTTATCTTTTTAAAGATTATTTTTAATGTACATATAGTAAAATTTATTTTCTGGTGCATAGTCAGTTTTAACCCATGCATAGATTGTATCCACCACCACCACCAGGATACAGAACAGTTTAACACTCCCTTTGCAGTCAGACCTTCCTATCTCCAACCCACTGATCTATTATCTGCTCCTATAGTTTTTCGTTTTCAAGAATATTACATAAAAATGGAGTTGCATAACATGTCACCTTTTGAGACTGACTTTATTTACTCAGCTTAACTCCTTGGAAATGTATCCAATTTGTTCATTCCTTTTTCTGGCTGAGTAGTATACCATGGAATGGGGTCACTGAGGCATGTGGTAAATGTATGTTGAACTTTATAAGAAACTGTCAAACCATTTTCCAGAGTGGCTGTACCATTTTGCATCCAAACTAGCTATGTATGTAATAAGATATGTAGTGTTATCTCACAATGGTTTTAATTTCCCTAATGGCTTATGATATTGGCCATTGTTTTATATGCTTATTTGCCAACCTTATGTCCCCTTTGATTAAGTGTCTGTTCAAATCCTATCTGTATTTTTATAATAAGGTTTTTTATTAGTATCTGGAATATATTTGTAAAATGATAATTCCCCTCATCTATTGTTTGACTATCTAGTAACCTCATTCTTTTCAATGGCTACATACAATTTCATAGTATAGCTGTACCATAGTTCATTTAACCAAGCTTGTATGGTTGCACATTTAAGTTGTTTCCAATATTTTGCTATTACAAACAGTGCTGCAATGAACAACCTTGTGTGTGTGTGTGTACACAGATATCTTTTATGTATATGAAAGTGTTTCTGTACCATGAGCGTGTAAAACTTTTTATTTACCCAAAGCCTTACTGATGCTGAATATCATAATTCTTTTTTAATCTTTACATTATAATAAGTAAAATAAATAAGTAAATTCCCATTATTGAGTTACATTTTGCCTTTTTAAATTAATGAGGTTGAGTATATTTTCATGTTTACAAATCATTTAAATTTCCCTTTTCAAAATTTCCTATTCATATGATACTATTACTATTTTGCTAATGTAGGCTAAATAGATCTTTTCCCATTTCTGGCTTACTTTTGTTAACTTTGTTTTTTAAAAAAAGATTTTATTTATTTATTTTCACAGAGCAGAGGAAGGGAGAAAAAAGAGAGAAACACTGGTGTACAAGAGATTGACTCTTGCATGCCCCCTACTGGGGACCTGGCCCACAACCCAGGCATGTGACCTGGCCAGGAATCAAACCGACGACCCTTCAGTTCATAGGCCAACACTCAATTCACTGAGCCGCACTAGCCAGGGATAACTTAGATTTTTAATCTTAAAATACTCATGTGAGGGAAACAAAAAATGAACAAATGGGATTATATCAAACTAAAAAGTTTTTGTACAGCAAAGAAAAACATAAAACAATGAAGAGACAACCTACTAGAAGAACATAATTACTAATAATGCATCTGTTAAGGGTTTAATATCCAAAATTTATAAAGAACTCATACTACTCAACACCAAAAAACAAACAACCCTTATTTTTAAAAAAGGCAGAGGGCCTGAATAGACACTTCTCCAAAGAGGTCATACGGATGGCCAATAGACATATGAAAAGATTCTCAGCATCACTAATTATCAGAGAGATGCAAATTAAAACCACAATGAGGTATTGCGTCACACCTGTCAGAATAGCTATCACTAATAATTCCACATATGACAAGTGTTGGCGAGGATGTGGAGAAAAGGGAACCCTTGTGTGCTGTTGGTGGAAATGCAGATTGATGCAGCCACTATGGGAAACAGTATGGAAGTTCCTTAAAAAATTAAAAATGTATCTGCCTTATGACCCAGGAATTCCATTTCTAGGGATTTATCTGAAGAAACTCAAAACACTAATTCAAAAGAATATATGCACTGCTATGTTTATTGCAACATTATTTACAATAGCTGAGATATGGGAACAATCCAAGTGAGCATAGATATACAAGTAGATAACAAAAGCTTGGTGCATTTACACAATGGAATACTACTTGGCCATAAAAAGAATGAAATCTGCCCTGGTTGGTGAGACTCAGTGGACTGAGTGCTGGCCTGTGAACCAAAGGGCTGCCAGTTCAATTTCCAGTCAGAGCACATGCCTGGGTTGCAGGCCAGGTCCCCAATATGGGGGCATGTGAGTTGTAACTACACTTTGATGTTTCTCTCCTTCTCTTTCTCCCTCCTTTCCCCTCTGTCTAAAAATAAAATGAGTAAAATATTTTAAAAAGTAATGAAATATTATTATTTGCAAAAGCGTGGATGGACCTAAAGGGTGTTACGCTAAGTGAAATAAGTCATCAGAGAAAGACAAATACTATATGATTTCACGTGTATGTGAAATCTAAAGAACAATATAAACAAACAAAACAGAAACACTTATAGATACAGAGACAATTTTGATGGTTGCCAGATGGGAAGGGCACTAGGGGGATAGGTAAAAAAGGTGAAGGGATTAAGAAGTACAAATTGGGCCCTACTGGTGTGGCTTGGTTGGGCACTCACAAGGAGAGGTCACCAGTTCAATTCCTGCTCAGAGTGCATGCCTGGGTTGTGGGTTTGGTCCCTGGTTGGGGCTTGTGCAAAGGACAGGTTATTGATGTTTCTCTCTCACAATGGTGTTTCTAGCCCTCTCTTTCTCTCTTGCCCTCCCCTCTCTAAAAATAAATAAAATCTTTAAAAAAAGAAGTACAATTTGTTAGTTACAGAATAGTCATAGTAATGTAAAGTATAGCATAGGGAATATAGTCAGTAATACTGTAATAACTATGTATGGTGTCAGAGGGGTATTAGATTTATCAGGGTGATCACTTTGCAAGTTATATAATGTCCAACCACTGGGTTATACACCTAAAACTAATATAATATTGTATGTCAATTATAACTGAAAAATAAAAAATATTAAAAAATAATCTACTTACAATGAACACAAAATCTATAAATACTTTGAAATTCTATATAGCTAAGTATATTACCCTTTTCTTTTGTCATTTTTTAGTTTCTTGTTGTAATTAAAAAGGACTGCATCATTTTAAGATTAAATTTGTATGATTACTTAAAACTATTGTCCAGTTTTTTAACTGATTGGGATTGTCATTCTGAAAGTAAAGTCAGAGGACCAGAAACTACTGTCAGAATTAATTATTTCGCAAATCTGTATTATACACATATGGCATTGTAGATACTTTGTGAGGTTCTGGGAGTTAGCAAGGTTTTAAGGCAACATCCCTGCCTTGATTCTAGCTAACTAAACAGATACCTAAGGACTTACGATAGTTTCTGCCTCTTAGAGTTGTTTTCAAGATTAAATGAGATAATAACATATAAAGTGCCTATAACTGCACAGCATTGAGTTAATGCTCAATAAAAAGTTGTTACTATTATTTTTAATTTCTGTTATAAGTGTTATATCTGTTATAAGTACTTAGTAGAAGCATTCTGTGTGTGTGTCTGTGTGTATCTTTATCTGTCCTCCTTTCTGTGGAGGACTGGAAAAGATTTCATGTGTTTGAAAAGTACCTTGAAAGATTATTAATTTGGTAGGAAGAAGAGAATGCCAGGCAGAAAGCAAGATTTTCCTGAGATATCAACAGCCATAAATACAGAATTATAAAAAAGGTAGAATATAAGCCCAGATAAGTAAGTTGGGGCCTTGAATGCCATGCTAAGAAGTTTAGATTAACTGTGAGGACAAACTCCTTCACCCATTCACTCAATAAATACTTTTTGAGTACCTGTGTGAACCAGGCACTATTGTAGGCACTGGGGATACATTGGTGGGATTAATTTCAATAAGATCCAAGATGACCTGGAATTTAGATCTAGTTGGGTAAATGAGTAAACAAACAGATACCTAGTTAATTACCCATTGTGATTAGTACTACCATGGAAATAAACAGAATTATAATAGAAAATAACTGGAGAATGATACTGTTTAGAAAGGTCAGGGAAGTTCTCACCCAGGAGGTGAATAACTTGGGGTGAACATACCAGTATGAAAACTGCAGGCCAGTCAGAGAAAGATAAATACCATGTGATTTTACTTATATAGAATTTAATGAACAAAATAAACTAACAATAGAAACAAACTCGTAGATACAGAGAATAGACTGACAGCTGTCAGAGGGGAGAGAGATTGTGGGGCTGGGTGAAACATAGAAGGGATTAAGCAAAACAAACAAACACACTCATAGACACAGACTATGGTATGGTGATTACCAGAGGGAAAGTGGGGTGGGGGAGGTAGAAGAGGGTAAAGGGGGAGATAAATGTTGTGATGGAAGGAGACTTGACTTTGGGTGGTAAACACACAAAATACAAGATACAGATGATGTGTTATAGAGTTGTACACCTGAAACCTATATAATTTTATTAAGCAATGTCATCCCAATAAATTCAAAAAAATAAAAAATAGGAAAAAGTCAAGCAAAATAATCCCATGCACATTCAAAAGAATCATAAGAAATTTGCCTAGTAAAGAAGGTATCTCAGGAAACTGACAGAAGAGAATGCCTGAATTTTAAGTTCATAAAAGGAAGATTCTTCCATTGAGGTGGGGGTGGGTGGGGTGGGGTTGCGTGGTGGGGGTGAAAATGGAGACAACTGTCATTGAACAACAATAAGAAAAATGAAAAAAGAAAGATTGTCATGGTTTAGTATTTAGTGATTTTTTCATATTTGCCTACTTCTATAAAAGGGACATGTGTTTGTGTGTCACTTCCACTTATGCATAGTTAACAATCATAGTGACTCAGTTATAACAATTACTGGCAATAGTGAAGTGGTCAGTAAGGGTTTCCATAAACTTAAACTGGCTACCTCTCTTTAAGCCTTCTGGCTAAACTGGAGTGGTGTAGCTTAGGTATCATCATTACTTGTAATACAAAATGATTTCATATAGCATTTGGATCACCACAG